CCCACTCAGTTTCTGATGGCCCATCCTACATGTTATCGAATTCTTTGTCCAGAATGGCATATGAAAAGAAAAAAAGTTCTAGAAAAAAAATATCTTGAAAAATCAGTAGAAGAAATTTTAAAAACAAAAAATAAAACTAGGAAAAGAATGATCATTTGAAAACTTTAAGAATTAAATATGTACCTTAGAACATCAAATGTTACAAAAATACTAGAAGACTATGCCTACTGAAGATTCTACCATATTGATTCATATTTTAATTTAATAAGGAAAATTTAGTATATCTGTATATGATCTGCTTTTAAAGACAAATTACTGAGTGGAAGGAAAATGATGTGATAAGTATTTTTCTATTTTCATATTAGAAAATCAAAGGCATACGTAGGAATGCCAACATCGAATATTAAACATTACTGGGGAAACAACAAGAGGAACAATTAAACTAAGTGGATTAATTACAAAATAGTATATAAGAATCAGAAATTCCTTTTTGAATAATTATTGTTGATTTAAACTCGATAACTGCTGCTGTTAAATTTTTTGGGAAAGGTAATTCATTAGTTAAACAGGAGTATAAAAGCTTATAAGTGAAGATAAACGCGATTCTTAAATTCACCTAAAATTGTATCATTGTATTTAACTCTGAAGTAATTTAAGATGCATAATTTATAATAACACATTTTTTTTTTTTCTGCTTGCATGAAAACAATAATAAATTTCATATTATTCAATAAAGTAAGGTACTTCTAGTAAAAAACTATATATTGTAAAAAAAACTGTATATAAATATATTAAACTGCTTAAAGTTATGAAAAGCGATCTTTCTTTTGAAAAATTTTGGACATGTTATATACCATATGAATCCTGAAATAAAAATAAAGGAAAACTTTCAGGAAATACTTATCTTTTACAGAACGTATGCGATCTTTTTTAAAGTAATTTAGTTACAATTTAGTAAGCAGCGAAAATAGATATTTTGATAAAAATTCATCCCTATTGCAATAACAACTCTTTTCCTGCATGATATGCTTGTAGATATGTATAAACTATTCATTTTGTAGCTGGCAATACTTCCCTGTAAAGTAGTGTTTAGATTTTAAAATAATTTTTAGGACAAATCTTTATAGTTAACCATGGTAGTATTCACTTTATTTATTAATATTAGCTGAAGTATAATTTTGCCTTTAATTTAAACCTAAGAATTTATAAAATATTATTTGTGTACTTTTTTAATGCAGTGAATTCCTAAAAGTACTTTTTATTGTACTGCTTATGAAGTACAGAAATATTAAATCTTTCATTAAAATCCATCTAATACTTCTAATGTAAAATAGTGAAAGCAATGTTTAGTACTCCATTAGCGCAGTATGTTTTATTTTGCTGCACTGAGTAGTGACTGAGACAACTACTTGTGATGTAACATTCCTATGTCAAAGCTTTATTTTATTAGAGAGTGTTGCCTGTATCAGCAACAGAAAATCATTTCGTCGACCAGGAATGCACCACATTTGTCAATGGAAGTAATTTTGAGCAATTATTATAAAAAAGCACTTGTCAACAATGCTGCAAATAAATAATTTATGTTTTCTTTCAGGTGCTATATATTGTGTTTGTGTTTTAACATATCACTGCGCACGGATATTCCTATGCAAAAATAAATAAATAAAATAAAATAAAAATAAATAAATAAATAAATGTTTTTGTAGCGTGCTTTGTCACCCTTTAAAGTTGGAACAGCCAATTTTATTCCATCCTATATACCATACATAAAAATACAAAAAGTGAAACAAAAATACTGAAACTTTATGTTTAAAAAATAGATACAAAATTTGCACGTTTTTATTTGGCTTGATAAATCTGTTTTACCATTCATCAATGTAAATATTACTAAGCGAAATTGTGCATGAGTATTGCATTGTTGCTTTTTTAACAAATTTTCATTCTCAAAATGATCTTAAACAAGCTATTTGAGATATTAATATGGTAAGCAAGTATTTATAAGATAAATTGAGATTTGGATAGGCTTCCTGATATATTTTACAACAATGAAAACATGTTTTATTTTAAAATTCTCATATTGCTGCATATAATTTGATATCAATGTATTATGGACTGTATTCAATACTCAGTTTTATATTAGACCTAATTATTACCTAGTATTATAAGTTTCTTTAAAATTTAACCAAAACTAGTATTATCATATAATGAGTTTTTTTTTTTTTTTAAGGCATTAGATATTACTTAGGAAACTCTATGAGATTGGTACAATACTACTATAAAGTATTTGCCTTTTTATTTGGTTTTAATTATCAGACTAAATTAAATCAGATGACTCATTGACTTTTGTTACTAGATATAAATATATTTGTAACCGTTGTAATGGCCAAAAGTTAATTTATAATGTCTGGTTTATAATGTTTTCTATATAATAGAGTAGTAATATCTTGGACTGCTTTTATAAGTTTCCATAAAACTGTCTGAATCTTCTCGACATCATTTTTCGATTTCTGCTGCTGGTTCAGAGTCATTTTCTTAATTTTTTATGTGGGTAAGAGTTCTTCCGGGCTCGAATTCCTGCTAACGGTTTGTCTGAATGGAATTTTTTGTTCATGGTGTTTTCAGCGTATATTGTAAATACAAGCCAGTTTTTCCTAGCCCTTCATCAAAGCATTTGTACTGTTATGGAGATAACCATAGTATACTTCTACGAATTCAGTTAAATAAACAAACAAAGTGTATTTTGGAACATTCTTGTTAATTTGATGTTAATGAATTGCAGTTGAAAATAAAATTATCAAACACTATTTCAATGGCTTCCATATTTACATTTGAATAGAATGATTTGAGTTTTTCAGACAATGTTTGCAAACAAGTTTGATGAATTTTCTTTTTACTAAAATTTCTTGGATCTGTTATTCTCAACTCTTAACATTCTTTAGGATTTTTAATAATACGATCTTGCGTTGACTGTATACAGCTATGGGAGGACAGAGATATTATTTTATTTTTTGCTAAATTTAAGAAAAACGATTCTTTAATGTTTTTAATTCATGGTTAATTTGCATTGCTATAATTTATTGGTTCTGTAAATGCCATCACTGATTATTGAGTTGTTTTCGTGCCATAACGTTTTTCTCTGAACTATTCCAAAAATGCATGGAACAAACAAAAATAGAAACACCATGTTACTGAAATACCATACTATCAATATGATAAACTGGGTGCCCCACACATGACTACCACTTTGCTTTTAAGTTTTTTTTTTTTTTTTTTTTTTTTTTTTTTTTTTTTTTTTTTTAATGCATTTTGTATTATATATTAGCTATGAAGCTAATCTGGCTAGAGGTGAGCAAACAAACTTTCCCGTCTGACCCAAATTAATTAATTTTTGCTTCATTGCTTCAGAGTACATTTCTCGACTGTTCTGCCGTTTTTTGGGGTCTTTTTCTACATGGTACGATTTTGTGAAATTCGTTTTCTTTTCGGCATGTAGTATATCTATATAGTATTTTTGTATATAATGTATTTTCTATTTAAACGAAAAATTGCTTGGATTCAAGAATATATATTTTTTCATTCATTAGTGCGCTTCGGAATTATTCTGTTAAAAATTTTTGCCGCATAAAAATGGTTTCACTTTTGATTTTCAAAGAAGTGTTCTTCTCCGATAAAGTTATTTTAGGAACTCAACCCGTTCAGGGACATATTTATAACGTATTACTGTAAAAATATTCTCGGGGAATATTCAATGATTTATCAATTTTTCTGATTTATAATCCAATGCTATGCAATAACTTCGCACTATTGCAATATTTTTCTCTACTAATTAATTTTCCTATATAATTCATGTAAGAAAAGACATTTGGTAAGACATTTCAGAGTTGAAGGGAAAAAATTTATATTATTATTTTAGAGAGTAAATATTAATATCTTTTAAGTGTTTTTATTTATTTTTGCCCAATGCATTTTTGGGATATTTGAGAGGAATAATAATCGGTGACGATAATTACAGAATCAATATATTATAAACCCTTGCCCCCCCAATACGCATTAGCTATATTAACGAAGTTAAACAGATGCTGTTCATAAAGTTGCAATAAATATTTTTTTTTCCTATTTTTTTTTGCAATAGTTGTAATTGTGTAGAGAATTGCATTAAAATTTTGCCATTCTGTGGCTTTCATTTTGGTCTTTTTGTTCTTTACTGAAAAGTTTTCTCAATACCTTTTCTTTTTCCTACTTATTCGTATTGCTTACAAACCTGTTTTTATTTTTATATCAGTAATGCATTCGGATTTTTCGATTTTTGTCAATTGCTTTGGTTACAGATTTTTTTCATAGTTTCTTGTATGCTTTTCTAAGAACTTATCTTATCTGGTGCTCTTTTCGCTGCACGTAAGAAGATATAATTCTCGTGTTTGCAAACACAGTTGAATTACACACTTGTGTTGTTTTACTTGAATAAAAAGCCGATAATATTGAAAATATACAAATAATCCTAATTTTTGTTATGATTCGCTTTTTGCTGTAATGTATTTTCGCGTGCATCTGAATAAATCTGATGAGCGCTCATTCAGTGAACCAGCTATCCGTCGACGGCGAAATGAAATGAATTTCTTTTGAGTTCATAGTTTTCTCTAATGGGAAGAAACAGCTCAACTAATAGAGCAGATTTTGAATTTCCATATTGTAGTAAACATTTTTTTTTTACACTGCAGATTCTTTTGTCCACCAATTAGTTAACCGTTTGCTATCTTTCTTTTTTTTTTTTCTTTTTTTTTTTTTTTTTTGAGGTCATCGGAATTTATTATTTACCATTTGATAATATGTTTCAATGAATCTCGAAATAATACGTCGGTTTTTTGTTTAATAAATTCAATACGCACGATTCTTTGATTAGCCTTCATCACATAAGTAAATTTAAAATGTGACTGAAACACCTAAAAATGTTTATGTTTTTTCTCCTTTCCTGTATAAATGTATTTCTTCTTTTTCTTTAGTCAAGTACTGGAAGTAATGGCTGCCGTTAGAGGTGATGATATTAATGAACTTGCTGAGAGATTGTATGAAAACACCTGCAATGTTTTCTTTTCTTCAAGAAAATGACCTATGTAGAAATTAATAATAATATTGTTCCAAAACGAATTTCCTGCACATTTAAACTGTTAAACTGCAATGATTTTTTTAAATAAAAGTTGTAAAAAATGTCTTGCATGATTATTTTTAAGACTTACTCAAATGAATACAAAATTAAAGACATTTTTTCTTTTCCCGTGAGGAAGGTGTCAGAGCAGCCGGCGAAACAGAAATGGTCAAAGTCCCTTCAGATTGAGAAATTCTCGGTTTGATCCTCGATCAAAGGAAAATCTTTTTTATGAAAACAGAAAGTAACGATGTTGATTGGGTGACCAAGACACCCACTCCTTCATCAGATCTGAAGCGCGACAATTTTGCGGTTTGTTTATTTGCTTGTATGCATTTTAAAATTTCGAGAGGAGCATTAATATTTTCACATATTTTAGAGATTTAATTTCGTCAACTAATTCTGAGCATTAAATACCTGAATATGTTTTGTTTTGAAGAATAAAGGATAAAGATGAATTAGTTCTAATCTGTGCAGTGGTCTTTAATTCATTTACATCTAGCGATTTTTTTAAACTAAATAAAAATCGTTATCTTTGTCAAAAGTTATCAATCTGATTAATCATTTTTAATTACGCAAACATTTCGCAATTTGCATTAAAGATTTTTCAAAATTTCGCTCTTGACTGCCGATGCTATAGTCACGAAATTCGTAATTAAATGATACAATATTGTTGCTTTCTGCGGATTCGCGGATTTAGAGCTATTGACGGCAACACTTGATGAAGTATCAAAACGCAATTTATTTGCCAGTATTATTCAGGAGAGTTCCAAAAACACGTTTACAGTCGTCCAAAAACTATGACAAGCATGCTGAAACTATCAGCAACACAGGCTATAACGGTGCAGATAGCTTGATGGCAAAGCACGAAAGTACAGCTCCCGACTCGGTTCGGTCGTTCTTGGAAATCAACGTACTCTCGAGACTGTCCACGCTACAACTCGTGATGCACTCGACGATACACTCGATAGCCTCAACGATGCATACTTTCGATGCACCAACTCGCGATACACTGACGAGACACTAAACTGCTACTCCACGTACAATAAAAAAACCGTGCTATAAATCGTAATTTTCACGTTATTTTTTTTTTCCGCGAAAATGTTTGCTTGTTCGTGAATAAATTTATTAACAATTAACTTAGGATAGTTAATAAGAAGAAAATTGTTAGGATCTCCAAGGTATTTTATTCCGGTGGTGAAAATTTTGAAGACGATACACTGATCCAGGACTTAGCTTATGCATATCGTATGCGGGGTACGATGGTTCTGCTAAATCGGCTAACATTGCGAAGAAGGGTAAAATGGATCACCAGGGATCAGAGACTAGAGCATGATAAAAAATTACTTTTGATCTGGATAGCGGAAAAACATTTATGCACTATATCATGGGCAGTGCTTCATTTATGTACTGTATGGGTTTCACCTACTGCATTTGCATTTTAGTAATAAAGTGTGTTATAACGATAACAAAAGAACGGATTAATTAATGTTCCCACTATTTCTTACTGCACAAGTTCGTCTGGTATGCGTCAAGAATGGATTAATGATGTGTATACCAAGGTACCTAGCATTTTAAAATAAAATTCTTAATCTTTTCTGTGCATCAATGACTCAGTATTAAAAAATTATGTTTAAAAATAATAATTTTATTTACAGACTTGTAGGCCTCAATCACACCATCTGCACATGAATTTTTACCATTTCAACAAAAAGTAAACTTATATGCAGTTGTAAGGTTTTTCTTCCTCTTTATCGCGTGCCTTCCATGACGTGACTAAAGTACATCCCGCTAACATCGGATACCCGGGAGTGCGAATCCCAGCGAGGGCATTGCTCATTTTTCATGTTTCCTTATTAGACATATCCCTTTCTTGGACCTTGGGAAGTGCACTTCCCACCTACGAAATACACCTATGGGAAGCGCAAAACCCACTAAATAGTAATGTCTAGCCCTAGCATGGCTTATAATTCACTCATGCGGGGGGCAATGACAAGCTTCGTTGGCATTATTGGCTGGCGTCCGTTCTACAGAATTGGCGATGTATCATGAGATTGGCAACTAAAGACGTTGTTATTCCACTAAATTTTGTCACTTTGCAGAAGTTAAGATTGAATAAGAAGCTTGAAACGTTGAAGAAATTAAGCTGTTACTCATTTCTTATATTTATCGTGATTACTACGGAAGGCAATTTTATATGTTTGGAATGTTCGAAGACCTATTTTGGATTACCACTAAATAAGATAATGTAATCAAGAATACGAAAAGAAAGGACCAAATTATATTATTTTGCTGAATGCCTGTTAAAAGATTAACTTTTATGTAAATATGAAATAAAAAACAAATTTGTAAAATGAGTTTAAATTAATTTATGTTAAGCTCTCAAGAGTTATTTTCCTAGGCTGAGACATGCCTTTTTGAAATACACGAATTTGAAAACAAATTTTTATGATAACACTAAATATAAGATGAAATATCAAACAGAAATACATTTGGAAATAAATGTAAAATACGGTCAAGTTAATTGATTATTGCCAGTTACAAAAGCCTACAGCATTAATTTAAGCAGTCCATAAACATCAACACGAGTGAGAAAAGAATAACGTCTATTTATCCATACGCTTTTTCAAGTCTCCAGTAAATAAATTCTCGCATATTTAGGCATAAAGCTCACCTTATCCTCTTTTTGAAGTTCCCAGTAAATAATTACTCGCATAATTGGGCACAAAGTAAATAAATTTCACACATTCCGCAGCACTTCACTTACGCATCGCTTGAAGTCTGAATTGTGAATTCATTGCCAAGCCAAACATACGTAGATATTCTTTGGCCAAGCATGCTGAAAATATGCCTATTGCGCATGCGTGAAGCATTAACCATGCTAGGAATAGACCCTACTCACTATAATATATATTGGCTTTGCTGTTATAACGTTGGGAACACTAATTCCCACTTCAATTTTGTGCTGCCATCCTGTTCAATCGATTGAAACAGAATTAGCACATTTGTTTTGAAAGTTCGAACGCGTTGTGTTCTACTGTGACACCTGTTTTGATGAGACATTTGTACTACTCAACGATTATGCTGAAAATGTTTGAAAACACTGTTTCTATTATAATAGCACTTTCTTTTTCTGTATATATCTGCACATTTTGTGCTAGTAACTGTCTACGTCGCCTGCTTGCAATTCGATATCCGAATAGAGGTCCTGCACCTGGTGTAATGATTTGAGCAGTTATTGGGTAGGCGCTGGCACATCTCTAGTTCGGATCGATGGTAATTTGAACGCAGATTGGTATAATTATGACATCTGACGTCCAGTCGTTGCCGTATCGTCGAGGCCCACCAAATGCCATGTTCCAACAAGTTAATGCACGACCACATGCTGCACGTCGTGTTCTGACCTTCCTCAATAACACAGGGTATTCGATTGCTGCCCTGGCTTAAACGATCTCCCGATCTGTCACCCATTGGAAACATCTGGTCATAGGTTGCTGAGAGAGTGGCCCGCCACCCCTCTCCAGCTAATAAGGTTGATGAAGTGTGGCATAGATTTGAAGCAGCATGGAATGAATTGCCGGTTCTGTCATCTAAGTCCAGTTCGACTTCCATGCCTAACCGAATAAGGACCATTTTTGCTGCCATGGGTGAAAGCTTTTTCGACTAATTTCGCACCTCTGTAAACCCCCAATCTGCTTACAAATTTAAGCATTTTGTATTCATGCCATACTGTTTTCGTACAATAAATATCTTTTTTGCATTTGCTTTCCTTCATGGTGTTGCAATTTTAATGGCCAGCAGTGTACATACCAAATTCTACTAACATTATGGAGCTAAAGTCTTGATTGCTAATTTAAACAAATAATCTGCTCGTGCAATTTATACAAAACTTGGCACTTTAATTTAAAGCGTAAAATCGTACAATTGAAAAAAATTGACATTTTATTTCAGAAACAGTCCGATTTTGTATCAAACTACATATGCAGGGGCGTAGCTAGAGGGGGCATCTCTCCCCGGGCGCAGAATCCAAGGAGCGCCAAACTGATGTTACGACATTTTAGAATTAAATGTTTTCCATCCTTGGCATGCAGTAGGGGGCGCGAAATCTTCAGTTGTCCCTGGGCGCTGAAAACCCTAGCTACGACTCTGTACATATGTTTGAACAGCGGTACTGTACTAACTTTCGAAATATGAAAAACGCAAGTTGATCTTCATCTATCGCCTAAACAAAACAAAAGAGGTACTTACGTATTATCGCAACCACCTTAGTAGAAATCGTCAGAGTTTCAGAATATGCCAAACTCTATTAATCACGCACATAACTATTCAGATAACCATGCAGATGACAAATATCCAGTTTCCAATATAGCCAACAAGTAGTGAAACAGGTTCTAAATTGAAGGAAACGTCAAATTCTAAACAATCATTCAATGACCGTTTTGCTTCAGCATTTGATGATGCATCGAAGATAATGCTAAAATTTATGATTCTCTGTTTCCTCTAATAACAACTTGATGTGGTAAAAAGTACTCTTTTTCAGTTTTTAAATACTCCGATTCTTCGGCAATACTTCTGGTAAATGTTGATTAATCACAGCTTTGTAATCTTCATGAAAAGTCACGAAACTTCGAATTCTTCTTAAATCTGCACCATAGTGGTTCAAATCATTTTTCTGCCAACTCAGAATTATCCCATTATTCCCCAGCATGTTCCTTTCACGGGAATCAAGCTATAAATCTGTTGTCTTAAAATTTCATAGATTCTCAAAATTTTCTAAAGGTAACATCGTTTCCTAAGCGGTGTCTATAATCATGTTTATATAAAATTCCCAAAGCTTCCAGCTGTCATACGTACATTTCCCACTAATCCAGACGTCGAATCAACTTCTAAATTGTTTTTAAGTTGTATCAAATTTTGTGTGATATTAAACGTTTCTGATGTATTACATGCATTTTCTATTTCGATCACAGGGCCCACCAGCGGTCGAGCGGTAAAGTCGTTGAACACTGGTAGTTCGGTCCGAGGTTCAAATTCCGCGAACGGGCTGGCTGCATGGGCGTTTTCGTGGTTTTTCCCATGTGTAACGTGTATACGAGCCAGTTTCCATTAGAAAGTCCTCCGCGAAGGCATTCCTACCCTTAGGCAGATAGCCCTCGAGGCTTTGCCATAATCACACACACACTATTTCGCTTACATACCACCCCAATTTAGTTTTTGTTACTGTCAAATGATTCAGAAATTCGGCAGACTCTTCCTATAAAGCCTCCACAAACATACATTCATCCATTCGTAAAGCATCCACAAGTAAATCTAACTTTTAAATATGGATTATATCAGTGCAATATATATATATTTGTGTGTGTGCTTTTGAATAACATCATTAAGTTCTTTAACTAATAAGAAATGAGAAAATAATTTCGGTTAAACATCGATCACTTTAAGTTTACTAATAACTTTAAAAAAATGAAGTAATTTAATTATTTTCTTTTGGACATTGAATAGCCTTAGTTAACCATATTTTATACATAATACATTTTATTTGTATAAGAGCCTCACTAAGGGTTCTCAACCGGTAGTTCGCGTATCACTGGTGGTACGCAAGAGAAAAATAGGTTGTACGCAAAGAAACAAAGTATTTTTAACTATTAAATTCAAAAATTAAAACCCCAACATCCTGATTGATTTTTTTCTCTAACACTCGTAAATTTATGCGATCTGAAAGCTTTGCTCAAGAGTGGTGGTGGTAGTAGTACTTTGTAGTAGTGGTAATAAAGGTTTTCAATATTTGTTTACATGGTACGCGTTAGTCAAAAGGTTGAGAACCGCTGGATAACCGATTTGTTGCGTAAGGCGGAAGACTGTAGATGTTTTTTTTTTTTTTTTTCCTATCCGTCACCCGTGAAGGATGAAGTTTGGTATTTTTATTTATTTACTTATTACGTGTTCCGCTTTTCGGTACTACGTGGCAAAAGAGAGATGCCTCGTGGAGGACTTTTTAAGAGCAACTGCCTCGTATCCACATTACATATGTGGAAAACAACGAAAATGGATAATACAAGAACGGATGCATTTGAAGTAGAATGCAGTAGCTTTTGCAGTCACTGTTTAAAATCGAAGACATATTGAGTTTTCGGACGTTTAATTTTGATGAAATTTAAAAGAAATCTTTAATAATTTTACATAGAAATCTAACTATGTTACCATTTATTTTTTCTACCAAGAAAATTAGGCATTTGTTTAAAAGCAGCATCTTTTCTAGAAATTTTTCCAATTATTGGAGTTTTCAAAGTATTATTGCAACTCGGCTCTTGGTGAAAGCAAATTGGTGGTGAACCTATTGAATCAGAGGATAAGGGGGCACTATTTTATATTCACTCTCAAGGCAATTACAACAGAGAGCTAGCTTTCATAATTTTTTCCCCTGTGATTTTCTATACACTAAATCTTCTGACTTGTGTTTGAGTAAATTAGACATATGAACTCTGATAGTCCGCTCTGGGATCGGATGCCAGTCCAAGGTTTAATTGCGTGAGATTTCTCAGATATTTTTCATACGTAATATGGCTACGGGCCATTCTCTTATATCGTTTAACATAAAAGAATTTACCAAAGTAAATAGCTCTTGATTAATATACAGTACTTTTATAAATGAACCATCATCTAGTTTTAAATTAAAATTGTATTTATTTTGTTAAAAATTGGATTGAACACACACACACAAAAAAAGTGGGGGGGGGGGGGAACTTTACTGATTCATTTTACTTTGCCTCTTCATCGAAAGTAATTGCGATTATTTATTAAAATTTCTTTTATTGAAATTAGTACGAATTAATCTGCTACACCCAAAGTTTTTTTCTGGTACTACTAATGTGAAACGACAAAAAAAAAAAAAAAAAAAAAAACAATATAATAAAGCTGTCTGTTCTTAATCTTTACCAATCTGGTGAAAGTGAAAGAAGGAAATTATACCAATGTTCAACAAGTGACATTTGTTTTTCGCTAGAATTGCGTAACTCGTCCCTCAGTTACGAATCGCTTCAGTGTCATGCTCGCAGTCAGTTTCTGATGGGCGAGAGGAAAAGATGGTGAAAGAAGTGGACTTAAGAAGTGATACTGTGACAAAACCTACGGCCGCCATGCGGCGAGCCATGGCGGAAGCCATTGTAGGTGATGATGTTCATAGAGAAGACTCTACTGTTATTGGTAAGAAGCCTTTTCTCTTTCTGAAATATCAGATAATTTATTTTGCTGTCAAGTTGTGACGAAATCAGTTTTTAAATTTGTTAAAAGTTATCCAGTGGAATAATTATTCATATATCTCCAGAATAAGTAATTTATAAACAGTTTCTCAGTTTTTAAGTTTTAAAAGATTAAAGAAAGATTAGTTTCAAAGTAATTTTTTCTAAAATTATAAGCACTGTAGAGACGTTAGGTATTTTGGAAGCAGGAAAGATGAAATAGTGTGCAACGCCTTCGCCGGGAATCGAACCGCGGATCTCTGGAATACGCGCCCAGCGTGCAGAACATTACACGAGAAAGGCATGCCAAGAAGGCGGGAGAAATACCTTATAGTATTAACCACGGTAATTGGCCTTGCTGTCTCAAAAACGCATTCACATACCTGTAGTATGTTATTTAATTTTAGAAGCGACATATTTTTCATAACATTTGTTTACAATCATAAAAATTTACCATCAGTTCGTAAAACGATTGCTTTGCTATATAGAAGCCAACAGCTAATTTTGAAAACAATTTTTATTATTATTTTAATTACTGCCATCTGTGATTTGCTTTACTTAAATTAAAGACTAAGCATTACTGTATAACAAATAATAAAAAACACTTACATGATTTATTTAAATAAAAAGCTAATGCTAAAGCAAATTCATTAATAAGCACATATATTTATTAATATTAATAACCATTAAATTCCTGATGCAAGACAGCTGCAACATTCGAAATACACTATGTAAACTATTACCTGGAGAATGCTAAATGTATAATTAGTATTGAGTTGCAGTTAGTAAACACTTAACATACCATTCATAGTTTATTAATCTATGACTTCCTATGATCTGCCTGATAGTAGATTACGTCGATAAATTTCGTCTATTTAAGAACCAAAGTGCCCTTTTCACATCCTCCACTTTATCGTAAGTATTCCGTAATAATTGAAAAACAGAGATTGCCCTGAATCTCTGTTTTTCAATTATTAAGATAATTGAGGAAGCCAATGGTGCTTTCGAAACTTTCAGGGCGTACAATTATACTCTTCCCAAACACTTGTAAAGAGTAAGAAAAATGACGAAATGGAACTTCATTCCTCATTAAACCAAGAAAGTGATTAAAATAAAACGTCATTAAAAAGCAGTTTCAATAAAATCGGAGCATCCCTTTGAATATCATCAATTAGGAGTATTTCCAAAAACGTAATGAATTTTTTCTAAGACGACCACCCACATTTCCAGAAAATTTTAAGATTCTATAGAAAGAATCTAATTAAAGAAAATGACTATCAGTGATGGCGGTCAACGATTTGCGTAAAATGTGTTTATTCCAGTGGCGTAGCTAGAGAGGGGCGTTTCTCCTCGGGTGCTTTTGGGGTTTTGGGGCGGCACATGAAATATTATTTTATAGGGTTAGTCATGCGGATCATCCACGCAGGTGAAAAATATTAAGATTCTATATTTCCATGTGGAACTAAATTGAGAAGAAAAATGGTTTTTGCTGTAGATGAAGTATTCAGTGAAATATCAAAGGATTTTAAATTGTTATATCTTTTTATATACCTTCAAAACTTTTGAAGGAAAATTAGGAATATCAACTAAATTATGATCGCAATGACATTAATAAGGAAGAATTCCTCATTAAGAGAGAAGTGTTATCAGGTTCAATGTTCCTTCTAACCTTCTTCGGGAACATACAAGGACCTGACTCGGAACAGAGAGCTTACTAAAACTATGTTCACTAATTGTGGTAAGTAGACAGGATACAGACGAAGGGTATGCAAAACCCTTTATTTTTCTCTATATACAATAACTTCCGTACTTCGGAATACAATGACCCGCCACTCGGGGTCTAACGTAAAAGTATAAAAATAAAATTAAACTCTAATTTAACTTTAGAATAATACACGTGGAAGATTGGCCTTATAATAACAGGAAGCGTATGTAGCACAGAGACTGTGAACACTACAATACGTTTAATTTATCAAGAGGATTAAAACCTCTGGCCTGGAAGGCAAACAGCAACTGCGTAACTTCTAAGGTAAGCGGCCTGCGTTGACTCACTGCTTCCTCCTCTTCGCTTGGCAAAAAGGCCACACTTAAATACTTGGCGTTCGCCAGACAAACTTTGCATAAAAACCTTCACGCTTATAATTCTGGCCGGAAGTAGAAAATAAGAAGTGATAGTAAAGATTTAAATAAAATAAACGTTAGTAAAACTTAAGATCCTTACATACTTCCCGCCAGAGTTAATTAGTTTTGAAAACTGAGGTCTAAAACGACCTTGTTGAAAACTTTTAGCTCTAGAATCTAACGCGAGGCCAATCTTTTACAAACATAACTTCGCTAGAAACTAGAAATTTAAAAGAAAGAAATTTGTTACAATAGCAGCTCCCAGGATATACAACAATCTTTTTTTTCATCTGTACTGCATCTAACCAGGAGCTTTTATTCAATTCTGGTTCCTTCCAGAGATCTTTGTAATATTCGGACATCCTTTTCTGGGCCCAGTCTTTAAAGGTATAGGAGATAGTAGCTTGGTTGATCCTCCTTCTTGTACGGGCTCGCCCTTCAGTGCTTTCCTCTGGAAGCTTCCGTTTTTCACCAGTACGGCCACCCTTGAACACCTTCCTTTTGTCCTCTGCTTGTGGTCTTGGCCGTTTGAAGGCAGCTGGTCTTGGCGGAACCGGGAAACTTCTGTCGTGATCCTGCTTGGACCTCGTTGCTGGCCGTTCAAATTTTCCTTGTAACTTTTTTTTTTTCCTCCGCCGCTGATGGCCCTTCCGCAGTTCGGCGACTTTTTGCTGCGGAGAGTTCCTGTCGGATGAGTAGATCTTCCGTTTTAGAGCCGGGTTATAGTTGCCGTCATTTCTCCTGGTCCTCTTTCACATACGTCGTCCTTCTCCCTTCTTCATTCTGGGGGTGTTCGTGAACTCTCTTTTCTGGACGGTGGAACGGCTTCTTTTTCTTGTTACCTTCAATTTTTCCGCGGGGAAATTTTCTTTTCACTTGCTTCTGTCTCTCATTGGCTTGCCCTTGTACTTGTCGTTTTTCCACCTCTGGAGCTTGTGTACCTGCGGTGTCTGCCGTGCCGGATCCTGCAAAAGATCTGAAAAGATTTGCATTTTATTACGATCGAAGTAGGGTTTGATTTGATCAATGTTTGCGGAACAGGTTTCACCACCATTTCTGGCTTTTAACACTACTACAGCGTGAGTTATTTTTTCTATAACATATGGTCCTTCAAATCGTGGAAAAAATTTGGCAGTTTTATCTTCTGGTGCTGAAGAAAGTGAATGCTTAATTTTTAAAACTTCATCCCCTACTTTATAAGTTACTCCCCGTCGTTTCAAATCATAATATAGCTTCTGTTTTCTTTGTGCTACTTACTTCCGTATTCTTTTTGCTTCTTTTATTAGTTTTTCTATATCACCCATTTTAAATTCTGGGGCTCTTTGTTGCACATAAAATAATTTATCTAACGGCGTTATAATCTTTCTGCCTAGAAATAACTCAGCAGGAGTTTTGCCCGTTGTATCATGTTTTGCGGTCCTAAGGGCGAAAGCAAATTCATTGACATAGTTATCCCAGCTTTTATGAAAATTTTTAACATAACTACGGATAATTTTCACTATATTTCTATTGACCCGTTCCGCTATATTTGATTGCGGCCGATACGGGACCATTTTTAAATGACGTATGCCCAGTTTTTGGCACATGTCTTCAAATATATTACTTACAAATTGAGGACCATTATCCGATATAACTTTTAGGGGCGCCCCGTATTTTAAAATATATTTATTTTAAATAGAATCAGTAACTAATTTCGCGGAGGCTCGTTTTAAGGGAACAATTTCGGTCCATTTACTAAAATGATCAACCATAACAAGGAGATAGCGACTTTTATTTAACTGACTTTTTGGGAAAGGGCCCAATAAATCGATGCCAATTATTTCATTTGGAAATTCGGATTTAATACTATTTAGAAACCCGGCCGGGCGGAAATTAATATAATTAACTGCTTGACATGTTGGGCAGGACTGGACATACGCCCTTGTTAACTTTTGCAGTTCAGGAAAGTAGACTGCCTCGCGTACGCGTTGGATAGTTTTTCGAATACCAGCATGAGAAGCTAAAGGGCTGTCATGGAGCTCCTGCAGGATATTTAATCTAAGACTAGCTGGGATAACAGGTCGAAATTCGTTGTTGGAATTCGTAGTTTTTGTATAAAATAATAGAGTTCGTAATGGGCCGCCCTATTTCTTATCGCCACAATATCTTGGTGGCTAAAATTTTCAGGATCCTTCAAATACTCATAAATACTTCCAAACTCAGGATCCTTACCCAGTTCGGTTATTACAGTTTCTCGGGAATTTATTGTACATGCTGTCAGCATTGCCACCTTTACGGTATTACCTTTGTTCGTCTATTTTAATCTTGATAGGGCATCTGCTACGATATTTTCCTTTCCGGGGGTATGCTTGATTACCAGATTATATTCTTGCAGCTTGAGTGCCCATCTTATTAACCTTGGGGATAAATTTTTCCCTGAGTACAATCTAGTTACCGCACCGCCGCATGATCAGAAGTATACTGTTATCGGCGCCTTTCCAAAATAGACTCGGAACTTTTGCACTGCTAACAGAACTGCAAGTGCCTCTCTCTCGGTCGCGGAATAGTTTCTTTGTGTTTGATTTAAAGTTCGGCTAAAAAATGCCACGGGCTGCTGATTTTGCGAAAGTACCGCTCCTACCGCATAATCCGAAGCATCCGCTGAAATTTCTAAATTTTCATCCTTTTCAGGAAATTTCAACACAGGGGCTTGCGTTAATGCTTGTTTTAATTTTTCGAAAGCACTATTGGCTTCGGCCGTCCACGAGAATCTTGCCTTTTTCCTTTTTAATTTTAACAATGGCTCAGCGATAGCCGCAAAATCTTTTATAAAGGACCTATAATATGAACAAAGTCCTAGAAAAG